GGTAGCGAGTTCGAGGCCGAGCTGTTCCAGGCACTGTGCCGAGAATTCGGAATCCAGAAGGACCGAACCACAGCGTATCACCCCCAAGCGAACGGTATGGTAGAGCGCATGAATCAGACCCTAGCGGGGAAACTCAAACGTATGGCGGCCGCAAATCAACGGGATTGGGACGAACACCTCCCCTACGCCCTTTTCGCCTACGCCACCACCGTACACACGTCGACGGGACAAACCCCGTTTTTAATGATGTTCGGCCGTGAGTCTCGTTTACCCGCAGATCTGCTATTCGGCGTCCCTTCCCCCCAGCCGGAGGAGGGAAGCCGCCCCGTGGAACACCTGTTGGAGACCCTGTGAGAAGCCCGAGGCCGAGCATACCCGCAAGGGGAAGCCGCGCATCGGCGGCAGGAACAGGGCACCCGACCCCGCATGGAACCCCCCTTATTCCTGACAGGCGCTAAGGTGTGGCTACACACCCCTTGCGTCGGGGCCGGGCAGGTGGGGAAACTGACGACCTACTGGCGGGGACCCTGGACCGTGGTGCGGCAGATATCCCCCTGGACGGTACTAATTTACGGCGGGGAGAGGGGTCGAGAGACGGTGGTCAATGTCCGCCGCTTAAAACCATGGAAAGCGGCCCCGGCGAGAGAGGACTCCGTCACCCGAAAGCCCCGAAATCCCGGAGTACCCGCACCCCTCGTGTTGGGGGGCCTCGCACACTACATGGGCCCTGCCTGGTCCCCGAGACGCCCCGATCCAGTCCGGAGACGGCGCGGACGACGGCCACTAAACCCTTCCGCTGCTGAGTTTGTGCCCCAGCCCACAGGTGCCGGGGGACGGGGAGAGCCGCTGGAGTGGAGGAGGAGACCGCCGCAGGAGCTACAGGGGGCGGAACCACCCGCCCCGAGGCCAGCCACCAGGTCCGGACGGATCCCCCGGACCCCGCAACGTTTCCTCGTGGGCGCGGCCCAAGCGAGGTGCTCCAGTCAACCCGGGACGGGGACTGGCACCTCGGGGGGCTATGTGATGCCGCCGCCACGAAGCCGTTCGGCAGGCACCAAATCCCCGACCTCGCCACCACCAAGCAACGGAGCCGACCCCGCGTCCCCCTCACCTCACCTCACATGAACACACCCGCACTCATTTCCGCCCCCCCCCCATAGAGCTCCGAGGGGAGGTCGCCTGACCGACCGGTTTTTATCCGAGAGACCCTTATCGGGATTAATTCTCACGGTTTCCGGCGATCAGGGAATTGGATGACCTCCCCCGTGCTACGTGGCACCGCGGCGCTGCGGCCGGCCTTAATATGGTATGGTCGCGGCGTGGGGCATTCGGCCACCGCGGTTGAGGGGCATTTCCCCCCACACACACTCCCACGGGTCGACGGGGCAAGCAGGGGAGGCACGGGACAGCATGAATAGCGGGGTCACAGGGGCTGTTGCGCATAGTCATGGAGGGTTGGGATAATTGCGCTTGAGCGCGCAGGCCCCATTGTTAGGAAGGGTAAGGGAGTAATTAGGATGTACGCCGCCAACGTCGCTCACTGATTAGCATATCAACAGCGCCCGGGGAACCGCCGTGCGCGGGCTTGGGGTGCACGAGCCCATTGTTCAGCGCAGCATCCCCTTTGAGGTAGGGAGGATAAATAGAGGAGCGCAGAGGGGAAAGGGGGCTCTTCTCTCCAGCGCCAGGCGACAGGACGCTCTCCAGTCCAGCGACCCGATCGTCCGTGAGACGCATCGAGGTACGCTGCGAGCACGGGATCAACGAACCGCCGTGGGCATCCAGCAGGAAGTAAGTAGGTGAATTAGAATCATAGCAGATAAATCGGGAATAAGTATAAAGGTATCAGCGTAGGCCAGCCTCGTCGACTCACTGATTTAACACTAAATTACCAGGTATCAGATAATAAATCATTAATAGCGAAGCGTGGTCTCGCGTGATATTGTCGTGCAGTGTGAGCGTGTGGGTGCGCGTGTGTACACTGTGGTTCACCACGTGAGTGAGCGCTGCGTAGAGCGGCGCACGAGTGGGTGTCGCGTGTGTGCAGGTGTGTGCGCTCGTAGTGTGGGTGAAGGGGTCGGTGCGTCCGCAGGTCCCCGATCCGTCTGTCGCCGCCGGGACTCGCGCAGTGTGAGGGCAGCGTCGTTCGCCCCCGACCCCCGTTTAATAGCGCGTGATCCGTGGAGAGACAACGCAGCGTCTGCAGGTGAACGAGGGCGTGCGGCGAGCTATGCCTCTCACACGAGCTCGCGGAGGGACGGACCAGGGAGGGGAGCCGTCGGGCGATGAGCCCAGCGACGGCAGCAGCTGCTCGCAGAGCAGCGAGGGGTCGGCGCACGGCGGAGCCCCTGCCATAGGCACGGAGCAGGGAGGGACTCCGGGGACCAGCGGCCCCAACAACAGTAAGACTTGGAGGCACTTCTTTATTTAACAAGCGCCAACGGGATAACACACCATTTAATAAGGCCGTCTATTGTCGGTGGCACTACTTAGTTAGAACAGTTGGTAGGCTGTCTGACCAGCGGCGCCCCGGGATGGTGAAGACGGAGACGACGACGAGAAGAATGGTGGCGATGGACTTGAGCAGCATGATGGGGATCCCACTTCTAGCAACAGCCCCGAGGTCCCCCAAAGGGGCCCCTCTTACAGAGGGAAACAAGTAAACCCGTAAAAACTAAGTTTTTCACTATAAATCCTTTACATGCGTGGCGGCGAACTTAATATAAAGGATTTAAAAATATATTCGCCTGTGGAGGACGCGGGGATCGATCCCGCGACCTTTGGCATGGGAAGCGAGGGCGCTACCAACTGCGCTACTCCGCCACGGCCTGTGGAGGGGTTACGCTCTGGGCTCTTACACTCTGACGTTCAGCCAAAGCCACGAATGCGTTCTATTTGAATATATGTAAAATAATTTTTTTTTGCCTAAAAAGTGTAAAATTTTGGGAATTTTTTTTCACGAACAATAATTGTCTGGCACAACGAGTCTGTGTGGAAAATGTCAGCTCGATTGGATCACGGGAAGTGGGTTAAAAAACGACCGAAAGATTTGCACGGTCCTAAGCAAGCAAGCAAGCACGCGAACTTAATATAAAGGATTTAAAAAGTATTTGATCGCCTGCTGATTTTGTATGTTTGCCCACTGACAAAGAAATGATCGGTCTATAATTTTAATGGTAGGTTTATTTGAACAGTGAGAGACAAAATAACAACAAAAATCCAGAAAAACGCATGTCAAAAATGTTATAATTTGATTGGCATTTTAATGAGGGAAATAAGTATTTGACCCCCTCTCAATCGGAAAGATTTCTGGCTCCCAGGTGTCTTTTATACAGGTAACGAGCTGAGATTAGGAGCACACTCATAAAGGGAGTGCTCCTCATCTCAGCTTGTTACCTGTATAAAAGACACCTGTTCACAGAAGCAATCAATCAATCAATCAGATTCCAAACTCTCCACCATGGCCAAAACCAAAGAGCTCTCCAAGGATGGCAGGGACAAGATTTGATTATTTCTATGACGTGGTGGTCAATCGAGTTTAACAACTTTCCCAAGACAACCTTGTGAATAATTAACCTCCAGATGTCTTTTGTTTCGTCGAGACAGGGGAGGGGGTGATCTTTTGGCCTTTGTTGTCTCGAGGGAGGAGACAACTTATAATTATTTTGTAACGATTGAGAACCAATGGGGTGCAAGGCTGCAGTGAAGGTTAATAACCACCGCTCAAGAGTGTTTACCGAAGTTTAAGTCCGTTGCACGTTATCCATCCTTGCCTGTTGCGTCGCCCACATGTCAGTGTTGCTAAAGCCAGCAGAACCAATCCTCTTACAGCTGTCACGTTTCCATTACGTCAGGGCCACGCCCCGAGGCTTCCCCCCATTGGCTATGGACCAGGACCGGCAGAGCCAATCATCGTGATGAGTTGTGATCCGTCAATGACCCGGATATAGCCTCACATTACAAATGTATCACGCGACATTTTCTCAACATTTATCTCTCTCGGTCAGCTTCTCGAGTGTTTAATCTCCGCTCTAAGAGACCTGCCCCCTCTGTGTATTACACATCCTCCACCCGCGCCACCAAAATTAACAAAGGTCCCAGTCGAGGACTCGCTCTCACTCGACCTGCTTGCTTTGGAGCCTTCTCCTTCACACTTCCCACGGAGACCTCAACATCCGTTCCCAAAGCAGAGACTCGGCCACCCGTGTGCCACCTTCACCCCAGCCGGGTCTCACAGCCGGGGCTTTCTTCCTGTTCCTGCTTCACAATCGAGAGAGGAGCTGAAAAGTCCTCCCCCCCAAGTTCTACCTTCACCCCTGGCCACGTCTCGACGCTGGCGATCTCTCCGCGCTGCCGCTTCATGTTCGGTAGGGAGGCGGGAGGATCTTCACCGTCGCATTCCACCTTCACCCCTGGAAATGTCTCAAAGCTGGCGATCCCTCCGCACTCCCGTTTCATGTTCGGTCGGGAGGCGAGAGGATCTTCACCGTCGCATTCTACCTTAACCCCTGGCAATGTCTCGAAGCTGGCGATCCCTCCGCACTCCCGTTTCATGTTCGGTCGGGAGGCGGGAGGATCTTCACCGTCGCATTCTACCTTAACCCCTGGCAATGTCTCGAAGCTGAGGGTCTCGCCGTGTTCTGATGTTAGCGATGCCGAGGGGGTCGCCGAAGGGGTTGCCGAGGGGGCCGCTGCGGGACCCTCGCCCCCGAGGCTCGCCACGACCTCCCCAGCGGCAGTCACGCCCTCGTGGAGTCTGGCCCTACCGCGGGTGCAGTGGCGGAGGAGGGGGGGATGGGCCGGCGGCATCGACGCGCTCGAGCCCGCGCGGGCCTGCCGGCACGCCCGGAGGCGCCCTGCCTCGGAGAAGGCCTTCCCGCGCGTGGGGCACGTGAGGGACCTCCCACCCGAGTGCGTCTTCTTGTGTACAAGGAGCGTGCCCAAGTGCGTGAACGATCTGTTGCACACGTCGCACGTGTACGGTCTCTCGCCCATGTGGGTGCGCTTGTGGATGCCTAGGGTGCTCGACTGGGCGAATGACTTGCCACACGTGGCGCACTTGTAGGGCTTCTCGCCCGTGTGGGTCCTCTCATGTTGGACGAGAACCTTCAACAGGGCAAATCGCTTCCCGCACATCGCGCACTCGTAGGGCTTCTCGCCCGCGTGGATTCTCTTGTCAGGTGAGAAGTCTCTTGGCGGTGGGACGATCGACTTCCTGCGTCGCGCACGGCTGATGTGCGTGGTCTGATGGGAGCAGTAGTCTTTCGAATTCGCGAAAACTTCTCCGCACACCCTGCACTTGTAGGGCTTCTCGTCGGCATGGCTCCTCTGGTGGCCGATCAGAGTGGCCACTTTGTCCGTGCTGTACGGGCAGTAGGGGCACTGGTACAGCACAGACTCGGTCCGGCGCCTGTGCTGCTTCATGTGGTCCTCCAGGGCAGGCAGGCTGATCACCACCCAGTTGCAGATTGGGCAGTAGATCTTCATCTCTCCTCCCTCGTTCATTGTTTCCGTCTTGGCACTGGGGCAAAGAGTGAGGCACACGAAGGAAAATTAATCTCCCTCGCCCCGCCCCTGCGAAGTATCGCAAACAAGTCGTGAAGCTAGAAACCACCGACACCGGTTGCTAACTGTAGAACAAAGGCAGTGGTCGCCGCTGCATCGCGTGGTGCTTTCAGATGCTGCTGCTTGTGGCGGACGTCTGGAACGCTCTTCCTCTCCGGTATGAGGAAGCTACTGGGAGCTACGATGCACTTTTAAATCATCATCTAGATCCTAGATTGACTAATTTCTTTAGAACTGCTGCTTATTGTTGTTTTTAATTTGTTGTCCTTCCCCCCGCACCTCCAACTAGCGCAGTTGGCTACTGTTCTGTTGTTATTTTTGCTGCCTTGCCCAATCTTGATAAATCGAACTTAAACAATGAATTTCCATTTCGGGACTTGCTTACCTTTTGTTCTATTTTGCACTCCTAACGTGTGTCTGTGTGTATCGTGTTTGTGTGTATCGTGTGTTTGTGTGTATCGTGTGGTTGTGTGTATCATGTTTTTGCTGTTGTAAATCGCTGACTCACCATGCCCATACTGGACATCTGTGGAAAAGAGATTAATAGCTCATCGGATTCCTCCTCCTGCAGTCTAAATAATAATTCTGATTCTTACTGAGATGACGAACAGATACACCGCCTGTGCCCCCTACTGTGCAAACTTGGTACTCTTATTAGTCCAGCGCTTTGCTAGTTGTTTTGAGCGTCGCTCCTCTGTCCTCCATTGTTGCTGGAGGGCAGACTGCCTCCAACTGCCCAGTACAGTAGAACCTCTGGTCACGACCATAATTCTTTCCATAACTTGGGTCGCAACCCGATTTGGTCGTGACTCGAACCTAATTTCCCCATTGGATTGTATGTAAATACGATTAATCCGTTCCAGACTCCTACGAACTATATATAGTTTTTTTTATTTTTAAGCACAAAAATAGTTAATCATGCCATAGAATTCACAGTGTAATAGTAAACTAAATGTAAAAACATTTAATAACACTGAGAAAACCTTGAACAACAGAGAAAACTAACATTGCCGCATCAAAGTTTAAAATCGTTCAGCAAGATGATTGTTTCGTCTGCTACATCAGTCGGTCGATTCTGAGAGAGAGAGAATATTTGTATGAGCAATTCATGTTTCTATTGAAAGTAAGTTAACAGTAATATTTGGGTACAGTATTGTTTTGGAAGCATTCACCGTAATATCGTATGAACGTTTACTTCCCCGCATCATCGTATGAATGATGCGAGAAGAGATTAACGAGTTCTGTTAGCGATTTACGTACTCGCTAATTTCAAAATTAATGCAAAAATACAGGAAATTTGGCGATTACAAAAAAATGGCGTGGAGGAGTAAAACGGCTGCGGCCGTGTTTGATCGCCACCCGAGTATGTGTTTGTTACCAGATTCAAAAATTGTTACTTTTTTGGTCAGAACCCGATTTGGTCGTGGTCAGAAGCGTTCGTGACCAGAGGTTCTCCTGTAATAGTAAACTAAATGTAAAAGCATTGAATAACACTGAGAAACCCTTCAGGCATGAAGGAAGTGAGGAGGAAGATGATTTGGGAGCAGATTACTGTTTTGAGGGAGAGTCCGCCTCTGCGATGGAAAGACGTTCTCCTTCAAGTGTTTTCTCTCTTGCGATTTCTTCGTCTTCTGTTTCGTCTTCAGGGATTTCTGGGTCAGGGGTTTCTTGTTTTTTTATCCGATTAGCTGGTGGACCAACAGTCACCAAAAACCGATCTGTTGTGACTTGTCTTTTCCTGCGCATCAAAACTTTACGGAAATGAGAGATGACACAATCGTTCATCATGTTCAACACTCTATTCGTAAGAGTTTTGTCGGGGTGGTGCTTTTCAAAGAAATTCTGGCACTCATTCCATTTTCCTATGACGTCTTTCAACACATAACTTTTAATCACCTCCCTTTCATCTTCTTCCTCCGATGACTGCTCCTCAGTGAGCACCTTATGCTGCTCATTCTGGAGTTCAACGAGTTCGTCCGTTGTCAGTTCCTCAACGTGATCTTTGACCAGTTCCTCTACGTCATCACTATCGACTTCAAGACCCATGCTCTTACCCATGGACACGATCTCCTCCACAACAGGGGGCTCAAATCCTTCGAAATCTCGTTCAGAAACGCATTCAGGCCAAAGTTTCTTCCATGCCGAGTTCAAGGTCCGGTACGTGACGTCTTCCCAGGCTTTGTCGATGAGGTTGATGCAATGAACAATATTAAAATGGTTCTTCCAGAACTCGTTCAGGGTCAAAGACGTCTCTTCGGTCACATTAAAACACCTGGTAAAGAGTCCCTTAGTGTACAGCTTCTTTAAGTTGGAAATGACTTGCTGGTCCATGGGCTGCAGAAAAGGAGTCGTGCTTGAGGGGAGAAACTTGACCTTAATGAAGTCGTAATCATTGTCCATATGGTCAACCAAACTTAGAGGGTGTGCTGGTGCATTGTCCATCAGAAGTAGGCACCTTTCAGGCAGATGATTGTCGGAAAGATATTTTCTAGCAGCGGGAGCGAAAGTCTCGTGCAGCCATTCCAAAAACAAGCTCCTTGTGACCCAACCCTTCGTATTAGCCCTCCACATCACGGGCAGTCTGGCCTTGTTCACATTGTGCTGCTTGAACGCACGAGGGTTCTCGTATTGGTAGACGACTAGTGGTTTAATTTTTAGATCGCCACTTGCGTTCGCACACAGCAAAAGGTTCAATCTGTCCTTCATTGGCTTGTGCCCGGGTATAGCCTTCTCCTCCTGTGTGATATAGGTCCTCTTCGGCATCTTTTTCCAAAACAATCCCGTCTCATCGCAGTTAAACACTTGTTGCGGGACATATCCTTCAGCCTCCACGAATTTAGCGAAATCTTTTGCGAACGCTTCCGCAACAGCAGCGTCAGATCTAGCAGCCTCTCCATTCCTTACAACACTATGAATACCACTTCTCTTACGAAACTTTTCCAACCATCCTCTACTGGCTTTAAATTCATCACTTTCTCCACTCGAAGAAGGGTATTTCTGACGCAAATTACTATGTATCTTCTTAGCTTTCTCGCATATGATCGCCTCGCTTACGCTATCACCTGAAAGTTTCTTCTCGTTCAACCACACTAGCAACAGTTTTTCCACCTCTTCCAGCACTTGAGGCCTCTGCTTGGTTAACATTGTAACTCCCCTTGCCACATTAGCTGCTTTAATAGCCTCTTTCTGCTTCAAAATAGTCGAGATCGTAGACTTTGATTTCTTGTACTCTGCAGCAAGATCGGTAACACGCACACCACGCTCATACTTTTCAATAATTCCCTTCTTCACTTCGATTTCAATTTTCTTTAAAACCTTCTTCTCACCAACATTACCACTCTTCACTTGATTAGAGGCCATGGCTAATTGCAAAATTCGTGCAAAAATACACAAAATACTGCAGAGTTCACAGCGAATGAGCGCACGTCTGACCGAGACCGATTACTAAGCGAGACTGAGCAAGCGGCCACACGTGGGTCGCTGTTGTTTGTAAACAAACAACAGAAAAATGGCGCGGAAAGGGAAATCACCCACAGTCTCTCTCCCACAGTCTCTCACACAGTCTCTCCCTCTCTTATTACACACAGTCTCTCACCCACGGTCTCTCCCACAGTCTCTCTCCCACAGTCTCTCCCTCTCTATTACACAGTCTCTCTCCCACGGTCTCTCCCTCTCTATTATACACAGTCTCTCTCCCACACAATCTCTCTCCCACAGTCTCTCACCCACAGTCTCTCACCCACGGCCTCTCCCCCACGGCCTCTCCCCCACGGCCTCTTCCTCTCTATTACACACAGTCTCTCTCACACAGTATCTCCCCCAGTCTCTCACACAGTCTCTCTCAGTCTCTCTCCCCCACGGCCTCCCTCTCTATTACACACAGTCTTTCTCACACAGTATCTCCCCCAGTCTCTCACACAGTCTCTCTCAGACAGTCTCTCTCCCCCACGGCCTCTCCCCCACGGCCTCCCTCTCTATTACTCATCGACGCTCTTCGCCCTCCGGCTTCCTTCCGTCGCGTGCGAGTGACGTCGGGCGGGCAAAGTGGGCGCAAGCAACGCCGGCGTGACGTCACGACCGGTGGAGGACGAAGGAACGTGATGGTCACGACCGTTGGGGGGGAGGGCGAAGAGACATGACGTCACGTCCGGTGGTGTGGGGGGGGCGAATGGATGTGACGTCAAGATCGGTTGGCGGTGGGACGAAGAGACAGGAGGTCACGAGCATGGGGGGGGGGTGGGGTTGGTCGAAGAGACGTGACGTTTCGACCGGTGAGGAAGGAACAGACATGACGTCAGGACCGGTAGGGTGGGGGGCAAGAGAAGTGACGGAATTGATGTGGTTGAGGCACGTAGATGACACATGGCCAACGAGCTTTGAACCAATTTCTCAACCACATCAATTCCATGCATCCAGCCATCAAATTCACCATGGAGGTGGAAAAGGATGGCAAGGGGCCGTCCATAAATGACGTCACGCACCTATGGGGGGAGGGGGGTCAGACATTGACGAGTGGGGGAGGTTTGATAAATGTGACGTCACATAAAAATGTGTAACTTTAAATGTGTTAATTAAATAGAATTGTTATAACAACACAAATTTTGATTAATTTTCATTGTTAACTATTTTATGATTTAAATTTACTAAGGTCACCTTTTATTTATTCCATGAAGGAGCATTTTGTTTCTCCATGGGAGAATGGAGAAGCATTAATTTTGTAAAAAAATGATTGTTATTAAACATTTTGAGTCTAATGATTCTACCAGGGCTTTTCATTCCGTGAAATGAATATGTGATTGTTATAATTGCGTTCTCCATTTTGCTTCGTTCTACTACAAAGTTCCAAGTATTTTTTAATAGTTATAATTATGATAATTGGTTCTTTACCCTTCTATCTGGCAACAAAACTGACACCTTTTTGCAAGGAGTCATGTTTGCATAGACCGCAATACCTGC